AAATGAGAGGATTAATGAAATTATTTCTTATGCCCAAATATCAAGCGACTTTTTGTTTATTAAAATCATTTTTTCAAACCATCTTTAGTTTATTAAGGACTATTTTTTTTTAACTTAGACTTTTTTTAAAAGTCTTGAAAAGTTTTGGAAAAAAAATTGATGTTAAAAATTTTGAAAAAACGCATAAAACCATTAGTATTGGTGAAAAACTCATAAAGAATTTAAAATCTTAACAAATGAGAATTTGTCATGCGAAATAACCTAATTTTTAAAATTAGAAGTAATTTATATTGTCTGTTTTTTATGCCTTCTTGTTTTATTAGTGAGAAATTATTTACTATCATTTAAATGTACCACCTTTGTACCTCTTGAGATTGTGAGTGCCTCTTTGCGGAGAAATAAGCTCCATTGTGTCCTCTTGACTGGAGTGTTCCCATCCGCGTAGTGGCTGAGAACGTTAACTTTCCAGCTGCTTGGATAAAATTGTATATATTACAACCTCAGTAATCTAGAGGCCAGGGTACTTTGTAGCCGATCGTGGTCCATGGCTGCATAAAAATTTTTCTTACATTTTTCCGTGCCCTGAATTTAAATATTAAATGTGTTTGGCCGTAAACTTGGTCGATTAATTGTTAGAAACATATTTTCAAACATTTTTTTAGATTCTTTGGCTGATTCAAGAAGAAAATTATTACCATCATTTTTCGTTGAAACCTTATAGTTTTTAAGTAAAAAATAGACAGTTTCGAAAATTTTACGCAATTTGTCCAGGCATTGCACATTTCTACGTTCAACAAGGCTTTAAAGTTTGCATAGTATTTCTTAAGCAAAGTGCAAAAGGTATAAATAAATATGGATCAAAATGACATTATCAATAAGCAAACGTGTACATGTGGTCAAGACAAAGTCGTAGAGCCAACTGACTGTTAAAGCGCAATGGGCATCAGAGCTCGCGTTGGTCGTGACATCCACCGTGAAAATAAGTATCTGGAAAAAAATGATTAGATAATAAGTTATCTTAGCGCATACATATTTACGAAGTATAGGCATGTTCGACAACATTTTACTAAACTAATGTGAAGTAAGTAGTTCATCATTTGAATTGGATTTTCTTCTAGCAAATTTGCATTTCTGTAGTCATTGCGATGCTTCCGTTGTGAATGTGCATAAAAAGACGTCAATAAGAGAAAATGTATTGAATATATCTTTTTACGTATTGGGATTTGAACTATGGTCGTACGCACCGTCGTGGAAATAAGCGAAGGTGAGAGAAAATACTCTCAACCACTGCTCCATTCACAGTATGTGGTGGTAGGAGAAATTTTTTCGCGGGATAGAGATTTCTTCATGCGGGGCACATTATTAAATGCGAGAGAGTCTCAATAGCAATGTAGTGTTTCATATGACAGGATTATGTTTACAAATAAGTGGATTTAGAATTACTCATTATACCATCATAGAAAGAATATCAGGATCTGGAATGATTTTTGCTATCAAAATTGTTTGATGCATACCCGCATACTTTTGTTCACATAATTTTTTCTGTCTATAGCCTTCACCCATATTTTTCAAGCTAAATAAACTAATCATATTATTCATAGCTAAAAAAACTAACAGCTGATGTATTTACTTTACGTGAAAGCTGTCACAGCCTTCTCTCCGAGCTTCTGAAATCAGCCTGAGAAGGGCGTCGATAGCTGAGTTTAAATCTCAGTTAAAAGTCAGATCCGCTGTTTTATTGACGCCGACATTTCACGATCCCCCAGCGTAGTATGCCCCCCATGATGCAGGTAGCAATGGTTAAATTTTTTTGTGCAGTAGGTAACGTAGTGTATTAGAAATAGTTTTTTAGAGTTTTCAAATCTGAATTTAGAGAAAAAAATTGCCTTCAGTGCATAAGTACATAATTATGATACATATTGAGAAAACTGAAATCGAACACCTTTCAGTTGCGAGCAATGGTCCAAAAACATGGTAAGAATCTTATACGCCGGAAAAAGACGAAAAAAATATGCTGCTGATGGCACCAATTGATCGGGGGGTAGCTCCGAAAATTTCAAAAAATCATCGACTTTTGCTCAGAGTTGAAAAAAATTTAACACTTTTTTTATTTTAGAAATTAAAAATCGAAACTTCAATAGGTTGTAGTTTTTCGAAAAACGGCTCTACTAGTTTTTGCTACTTTCATCATTTTTTTGGACCATTGCTGACAACCGTAAATTGTTCTATTTAAATTCATTCAATTTGTATCATAATCATCTATTTAAGCCGATTTTTTTCCAAATTCAGAACTGTGCAAAAATTACTGTAATTTTTTGGTTACTCTATTACACCAATGTTACTAATCTCCTCTCTGATACTCGCTTCATTAAAACCACCAACCTACATTTTGCAAAATTCGATCGATCCACGGTAAATTTTTTTTTATTTATGTGAGGCCAAATTTTCTTCACGAACCACATCAAATATATCCAAAACTATTTTTTTCACATAAAAAATTAAATGTTATTTTATTATCATGAGAGTTAAATTTTTTTTAGATTAATTCAACTTGAGCAAAACTTATAGCTGTTATAGCTATATTTTTATCTATATTTTACAGGTTATTGTAGTTATTTTATTGGTAATTATAAGTATAATTGTNTTTAATACTTACCCATCGATAAATTAGAGTGAATTCTAATATTCTTGCATACTACATCCAATCTTATTAGCATTTAAACATAAGTTGTATGCGTTTTATAGTTTTATTAAATTGTTTATGTACCTTGTTATTTAAGTTTAAATGTCTTAAGATTTTGACTAAAATAATATCGGGCTATTGTTATTTTTATAACCATGTACTTACTGTAAATACAGATGCAAATTTGTAAAAAAATTAATTATTGAGTATTTTGAGAAACGTTTTAAATCATCTTTTACTTGAGTGATAGTTATCATTTGATGTAAGGATTGATTGGATACGTCCAAAATTTAAGACTGTGTTTCATCCATGCGGCTGTTCATGCATCTAGGGGCGGCGCTATGCTCAGTATACAATTATACGTAAGAAAAACTTAGGTGCAGTTATGGACTCCGACTGGATACGAAAAGTACCCTCGCTCCTAGATTCAGGCCGGAAAAGTAAAGAAATTTTCAAATCGCCGGTGTATAGAGGTCTGAGGGGAAGTCGAGAATAACGAATGCACGATCTGATGCTTCTTTACTTCTGGCCGCTGGTTGGATATGTTTTATTGTTCTCCCAGTTGCTGGAACGAAAACTTATTTTGATTTTTTACTATTTAAGAATTACATCGGTGTACAGTAATACAATACCAGCAATATATGCAAGATTAGATACTCTAGCGTTCAGGGATGAAGTAATAGAAAAATATTTAGAATTAAAACATTTTCTCGACATCATGCGCTTCTGGATCTTGAATATATATCGCAAAATTATTTATAAAAGTATTCATGACGTTTCCGGAAACAAGTAAGTTTAACCATATATGTATCTTGAATACAAAAGAACGCTAAAGCTGAAATGACTGAAAACTTTATCCAATTTATTAAGAAACTCATAAAGAATTTAAAATCTTAACAAATGAGAATTTGTCATGCGAAATAACCTAATTTTTAAAATTAGAAGTAATTTATATTGTCTGTTTTTTATGCCTTCTTGTTTTATTAGTGAGAAATTATTTACTATCATTTAAATGTACCACCTTTGTACCTCTTGAGATTGTGAGTGCCTCTTTGCGGAGAAATAAGCTCCATNAAATGGAATGTATTGTTGAGGATTTTCTAACTAATTTAATGTCATCATTATCTGGAAAAGAGTTTATTATTGATTATAATAATTTGTACCCCGTCATTGATGATTTCCAGGTTTTGGCCAAATTGTACCCTGATTTGTATCCTTTTTACATAATTGTTTTGTAATATAAATTTAAACTTACATTAGTGACAAAAATGTTTTAAAGACCTATGTATTGTCTGAAATATTATTAGAAAAAAAACACAGTAAATATCAATAATATCAGGTAGTTTACGGAAATTTGTTCTGATATTTCTTAACATGGTATGGCATGATATTTAGAATTGAAAAACAATTATTCAGAAAAGCATTATTTTGTTTTCTTTAATTGATTACAACAGAGATCCTTTAAAATGTGAATTTATCATGAAATCTGTCTTTGTATTTTTTGATGAACCAATGTCCTTTACAAATTCTCAGGTAGCAACCACTACTTTGGTAGTTATCTCTTGTTACATTTTCAACAATTCTGAGTATGTACTGTTAACGGTTTTACAATTTGTAGGATTTTCTACGTAAATGTAAACGTGCTTCGACTAAAGATAATTTATCAGAATCATCCAATGAAATAACTGCCACAAGACTGCCTTGTAATAATACAGATCCTAAAACCAACTTGATACCACTCATAAAGGAAGTAAAAGATATTTTTTCTGATTTAACTGAGGGATTTATAGAGGTAAAGTATGGTTTTACGTTATGTTTTAACTTCATGAAAAATTAGTTGATTAAAATCGTAAAATTTGTTACATGTTTGCAGAAATGTCTGGAAAACTACAACTACAGTTCAGAATCAGTTATAAATGCTGTTCTTGAAAATTCATTACCAACTGAGCTAATAAGTTTTTACTGTATGTCACCTGTTATTCCACCTCTTTCAGATGTACGGTAATTTATTTGATAAGTTTTTATGGAGATCTAGAGCATTTGAAGGAGCCAACACCCGAAAACGTACTTAGCGTATACGTGAAACTCTACTCCAGAAAATATGCTCCTTCCACTTTCGCGATATGTTGTTCGTATAGGTAAAAAAAGTGGGCGAAGCATCTTTTCTGCAGTAGAATGTTACGTGTTGGCTCCCTACACAGACTTATTTTAATAGTATTGTATTTAGATTTTTCGTATACCCATTGCAGGATTCTTACAAATTCTAAATGCCTAAAATCTCTATTATCTTTCTCTTAGCTATAAATGACTCGTTGTACCAGAGCTTTATTAAGTCAGCCCAACGCTACGTAGTGATCAATAATGGTACTGAGACTAGAGAATATTGAATACATCTTTTTATGTACACAAAGAGATGTATTTAATGTATTATTATCGGATTTAACAGAGAAAGCTATGTTCATAAACCTTTATATTTGTTTAAGCAAAATTCTTTCCCAGTTATAAGTTTCATTTCGAACCCAAATATAGCAATCATTTATATAATTGCAAATATTATCGATAATGTTAAGGAGGTTACCTATAGTTACTTGAAATAATAGTAAAATTTGATGAAAATTAGGAAACCAAAGTTGAAGTTGTCCTGAATCCACACTAGTTTTTTAAATACTTGTAATTATAGTAAATACCAAAACATATTACGATAAAGAAAAGCGTATTTAACACGCGTTCTAATGGGCTAGTTATAAAATCATCAGTAAATAGCATGATAGAAATAACACATGCCAATGAAATGACAAGGATACATAGAAAAGTGTGTAAGGAATCATCATTAAAAGTTTCAACCCATATCATAATACTATATGAAGAAGTATAAATAAAATACTACCATAAATAGGCCAAATAAAAGTGTTATGGCAACATTGCACACTCAAATCTTGTAAAAACATATACTAACAATCGGCGTGAATTTCGAAATGCTGTAGTTTCACTGGTACTGTAGATATATGTAAATTTAATTCATTGTAAAAAATTTCCAGAAGAAAACAACTTACAATTATTGTCCTAAAAAATTTCAAGTTGTTATAAACTACACGTATTATGAATACAATCATACATACATGTTTATTTGAAAACCGCATTTTTATTGGAATAAGGAGTTGGGTACTATAAGTTATCATACTCTTCTCATTGTTACTATATTACTCGGAATTTGTAAGCAGTTGATACATAAAGTTTGTTTGAAAAACGTATGTATCAATCAAAGTTTTATGACAATCAAGGATTTAAAACTAATCTTGAATACTTCAAAATAAAAAAAAAACTTATCCCGCAGGTTATATTAATTAATACGAGCAAAATAAGTGTATGTGATGCCTTATTATACCTATGGCTTGTTTGTTTTTATTGTGTATGATTGACATGGTGTTGCCAACTCTGCATCGGTAATATAATTAGCTAGAAAAAATCGTAGCTAGGCAACATCCTTAATAAACCAAAAGAGCATTTATGTGTATGTGTATAATATTACATTTATCTTTTCCAAATCTAAAGTTTACATACTGTAAAGCCAAACTTTAATGATTAGGGTTCGTACAATAATTATCAAAGAATGAGACAGAGGACAGAAGGTGATCATGCAGGATAATAAAACAAAAAAAAGTTTCAAAGATGTAAAGAATTAAATTTCCGTTTATTCCCCATGTATCCTAAATCAATACACCAGGCAATGTACAAACAGTATCAATAAGAATTTGCAGTTGTTTATCCTTTCAATAATAGTATAATAACGAGGAAACAAACTTTTGTTTGCTATTAAACATCACAAGATAAGTCTAATTTCGACTTATAAAATAAATTCAACGAGCGCAAATTCAATGGTCAGTCGAGCGCATACAAAAAACATCTTTAATCGTACACGGCTCTACATTTAATTGGTAATCGATGTACAAAACATTCACTAAATAAAGAAAGTGGAAACGACACTATAGATAGATTGACCGTTGTACAATCGGTTTACTCATTTTCAAAACAAATCGATGCTCGAGTTTGCCGTTCATGTTATTGAATGAACTGACGACTTACAGTACACCTAAGGTCATTATTATCGCAATTAAAAACAGAATAGAAAATGCAACCGTCACGGTTTATCTTATCAAGAGAATCCTTCTTACTTTTAATAATTTGAGCGGAACATAATTTTTCTGAATTCATTCTTATACTTACTTAATGCGTCGCATGGATTTGCAGAACGATGGGTCTACGCGTACTCACGCCCAATAATAATTGTATAGCTTGATACCCTTACTAATTTTCTTATCATAAACTAAATTGATAAGGTATCACGGATCATCAATCTGATGAAAGAAAATTTGCACGTACCACACAAAGAACGAGAAGATAGGATATCGCCAGAAACACTCACGCACGGAAACACTATCATGGAACACAAGGCAATACACAGTGGAATAACATAAAATTACTTCCCTTACAACCAGGAGTCGATCCTAAGCCATCACTTGGTTGAGTCAATTTAGCAACCAGGGCTTTACGCTATGATCCAAATCGCTAGAACCGTCTAAAGAAAAACTCGCTGATCTAGAGGGGAACCTCACTTACTTTTTCTGCGACCACCAAGTTGCTCCGCGAAGTCTCGATCCTTTTCCTCTCTCGATCATACTAGTTCAGATCCTTTCGCACCTCGATCCTCTGTGCTTGTTCCCTTCGACAATCAAGCCACACCCCATTCGCCGCGACTTGCCGCCGAAAATGATGCGCAATAATCATCAGAATAAAATTTTACGCATTTTCCCCCCAGAACGGTACTCCCGACTCGGTTTCCATACACACATACCCTCTCGCTCTCGTACTTGACGATTGAATCACATGTTAAAAAAAATATTTTCAAACTACATACAATCTACAAAAAGTATAAAAATGTAGCGATTGAGAAGAGGAGTTGCCGAGACCTCGATGGCAAAATTGGTAACGCGCTTTCCCAGTAAGAAAAGAGTTCCAGGTTTAAGTATTTGTCGAGGTGGCACTTTTTTCCAGTTGCTACGTATGACAATTTTCTACAAACGGTAGTTTTAACTAAAAAAGTCGAGTTGCCTTGGCAATATCGTATTGGATGGGAAATGTCGATAAATTCAATTACTCGCATTTAATACTTACCCATCGATAAATTAGAGTGAATTCTAATATTCTTGCATACTACATCCAATCTTATTAGCATTTAAACATAAGTTGTATGCGTTTTATAGTTTTATTAAATTGTTTATGTACCTTGTTATTTAAGTTTAAATGTCTTAAGATTTTGACTGATCAGTGGTATGAAAAAGGCACTACTGAATTCAACGTGATCTTAACTTTTTATAACACATGTCTAGGTTCTAGACACTTTAGCGCTCGAACCTCCTTTGAATAACTTTAATGCCTATGATTTCAGGTGTAACTTGTCAGTCACAACCTACCTAAAACTGTTGGTTATAACAAAACAAACGGAATGTGCTTTCTAGCAATGTTTGTGATGGTATCGTAGCTATGATAACTGCAATTGATGAATATCAATGCTAGTCTCACACATTGTAAAAATATAACATGTCAATAGTAATTTAATAATTTTAAGAGTGCTCCTGAGAAACTCCCAACCGACTACTACTACAAAGACTTGTAAACACATACCACGATGTAAAATAAATTTTAATTAAATTGAAGTTATTGTTGTTCATATTTATATACGAGAGACAATAACGCACCGAGTAGACAATCTGCCGTCAGCTCGACTTTTTATGTGGTATGATGGCTGTTCACAAACTTCTGATTTTTTTTAGTGTGAAACTTCAAATTTTTAGAAAACCTGCTTCAGTCGTATGCAGCTAAATTTAGTTCTGTCATTTTAAAAATTGTAAATTTTAGTTATTTGAAGTAAAAAATTACCTTTCTGTTATTACAACAACTTACTTATAAAAATGTATATATTTTCATTTTAGTAAGAAAAGATTTCTGACTGTTTGTTGGAATATAATAAAAAAACTAATCTGCCTTGATGTTAAACATTAGTATAATTTTTAAAAGAAAATTAGCATGTTATGTAAATATGAAATAATTTAGAACCATTTTACCTTATAGAAATAATCGTGTACTGAGGTAGCTGATGTATATGATGGCTTGATGTGATATACATGTAAAGGTGTGAGGGAATACAAGGGAGTGAAAAGCTTGGAAAGCCGAATGCTTGGTATTAGTTGCGTGGGAAAGTGTAGAGGGCTGGTAGAACAAAGCTATATCTCGTCGTGTAAACACGTATAGAGGTAGCCCAGTAACTTGTTCTCGTAATACCCAGTGTGGGATTATATAAACTCATTTAATTGCGTATCAATTCAGTATGGTTTATTACCGAACTTCTTTATATGGTGACGTTATACTTGTTTTATCTTTTTATTAAAATTATTTTTACTTACACATAGTTCGAGAATAAAATCCCTACACGAAACCACACATGACCATTTGCGCAGAAAATGTTTATTTTTATCATCTCTTCATATAAGGTTGCGGAATCAGAGATATGATGGGAAAGGACAAAGAAATTAAATGGACCTCTGTCGCTCAACGATATCGATCGCAAGCAAAGAAGCTGCCGGACAAATATGGAGAGTAGCAAATTTTCTGATATTTATAGTATGTCCATATTCTGACAAATATGTGAAATCAACATATTAAGGGTATTGGATTTCTCATATACCAAAATAAAGAATTATATGTAAGAAAACGATTATATTGAAGAAAACGCCTAAGTTACAAAAGTACAGCATGCAAGCTGTGATAAAAAAAATATTACAAATCAATAATTTTATTATTCGAATTCATCTAATATGAATTATGATACAGACTAGCAATCGTCAACTTCATTGTAATCTAAATAATTTATAATTTTAATCGGCAATTTACATCATCCAATCCGCAACAATTTAATACAGAAGATTTTATGATGTTTGT